GCCCCGTCCAAGCCCATCCTCAGCCTCCGCAGGCTTGCACGGGTGCCAGACGCAATTAGCAGCTGCCCCGCGCTCGTGCACGGGGGCGTTACACCCTCCTGCCCACGTGCGCGGCCGCGCTCCGTGTGCCGCCCGCGCCCACCGCAGCGCTGCCTCCTCGCACAGCCCCGCGCCGGCCCCGCGCTGGGAGAGCGCTCAGCTCAGCGCCTCGGGCGAGCCGAGCGCTCCGCCGGCGGAACGCCGCTTATTCCACGGGATCTCACCCTGAAACAGCACTCGGGAGCGCGGCCCGGCTGCCAGCTCCCGGCCCTGCAGTAGTTGCCCCCATTTGGGGGTGGCATTTCCAGGTATCGTGCCCCAGTCTTGCACCCCTCCTACTCCTGCCAAGAGCCTGCAGCTCCTGCAAACAGGAACTCCGTTACAGCTCCGGAGCCAGCATCCAAACCTGGAAGAATTATTTTCCATCTTGCCAAACCCAAAGAGCTTTTTAGCTGAAGCATTTGAAAAGATTTGACTCTTTCCATTCTCTGGCCCTCCCCTGAGCTCCTAAGCACATCCATGTCTCGCTGTCCTGGATGCACTGCCTACACTCAATACACAGAGGTCCTTTTGTTAAGGGAGCAGCATCCAAGACAGAATGAGCCACAACTGCAGGAATGTATCTTCCTCTGGATTAGCCACCAGGAATTTCAAGTGACAGATAGCCCATTCCAATAGGGTACCTGCACAGAGCCCATCCCTACGCAAAGCCTCCTGGTGTGTTTTTTTTTGTTTTATTTTAAATAAAATTGATGTATCAGGTCAGAGCACAAGTTACATGGTGTCTTCCATTATTATTTCCGAGTTCCAGTAAAAGCCTTTGGTCATCTAAAACCAGGAGATATTTAATATCCCAGTAGTGAGGTCCTACCCCAACACAGACATATCACCCAGTTTTCTCCGTAGCTGCATACAAATCCTAACACGTGTTTCTCACAGGGACCATCTCCACATTAGCTCTCGCTGCTATGCCGAGATGGACGCAGGGCAGTCACTCTGGCTCCCAGCTTTTTCCCTGCATGATGACTATGAAGAAGCCCCAGAGCTCACGGATGGTACCCAGGTGCAGCACAGCTCCTGTGGCTGTGGATTCGCCAGGCATTGCAGACCTTATCCAGTGTCTTTAAGCATTCTCTGTAACACACTCTGCTTCTTTCAAGTCACCATGGTCTCCATTATCAGCACTTTGAGCTCTACACTTCAAGGACCTGAACTTCCCCTTCTCAAAAGTATTTCTCCTCCCTGACTTGCCAACACTGCTCCATGATTTTCCTCCCTGCTTTGCTACTTACCTATTGCAGGACTGGCCAGTCTTTATTTACAAAATTTAAGGTTTAAATTTAAAATAAACAGACACCACCCGCTTCAGGGAGGGGAAGGAGGACAAGGGTGTCCCAGCATCTGTCCCCATTCCTAGGAAGGGCTGGTACAGAGCAGGGTATGAGGAGCTCCTGCAGTTCCCAGCGCTGCACGAGCACATCCCAGGAACCTGTGCCAGGAGCATCTCCAGCCTTGCCTCTCCAGGCCCAAGAGCACCCAGCAGCCTCCCTGCCAGGAAGGCACAGGGTCAACTCTGTCTACCTCAATTTGGATTTTGCAATTAACCCCAGTCAGCTCCAAGGCCTGGGAGAAACCCAGGAACAGCTTCAGAACAGTGAGAAATCCCAGTACCAGCCACAAATCTCAGGTCAAGCCTCCCTTCAACTGACTGCACCACAGAATACCAGCAAGTACAACAGAGCCAGACTGAAAAAAAAAAAAAAGCCAGACTAATTAACAGAGCTGTGTTAAAGAGATGCCCAGCAGCAAGGATACCTCTTCTAGGTAATCAATATTGACTCTCTCAACAGCAGCAATAAATCCTCAAGATCATTTCAACAAACAACTGCTCAGCTCTTAGAATTCAAAGAAACCCTCCCTGCTCTCTAACATTGCACATTCATAAGAGAAACGCTGAGCTCAGTGCTTTACCTTTCTCAAGCATGGTAAGAAATCCAAAGCAGTCTCTTACAAGTTTAAGAAATAGTGATCTTAAAAGCTTTCTCTGGACCTGTTTTTTCCATTCGATTAATATAACACAATACTACCGCAATTAATTATTGAAGAGAAACAGAAGCCAGAGCTTTTAGAAACAAGCTCTTCTCCAATAGCAATTTATTACAAATTAATAGCATGCTGCAGTTCCTTCTACAGCAGGAGATCTCAGGATTAGCTACTCTATCGAGCCACCACAGAGCCAAAACTTTGGAGCTGCCATAAAGCTCCACAGTCCTGGTCGTACAAGGAGGAGACAAGTACGAATGAGCAGGGAGGGATGGGGGGGCTGCTCTGCACAGAAACCAGAGCCCCTTCTACTCCTGAGGGATTTTGCTGCTCCTGAAACAAGATGCTTTGTACAGGAATATATCAGTGTCCTCACATCTTTGCTAGCGTCGGTCTTTAAAAACATGCTCCGTCCACTGACAAACAGCACGTTCTTTGCTGCATGAAAGCAACAACGAAGTTGAAGACAAGTATTACTGTAAACAAGGTTACTGATTAATGTGCAAAGGCATCGCGTGACAACTGTTAATTGCAAGTTTTAGATTAAATGCGCTCAGCATCATGTTCCCGATATTTTTTTTTACACCCTGCCCTTAACACCACACTTGCTCCTAAAACGAATCTCTGAATAATGGCATTAGAGATCAATTCCCTGAAAAAGCATCTGTTTTTTTTTTTTTTTCTCTCTAGCAAATCAATGCAGTGCCAACCAACCAGACACATACCTAACATTTCACCAAACTATTGCTCTGGAAGCACATGAAATAATCATGTCAAGAGCAACATCAGCATTGTCGCTGGCCTGTTTGTTTAAACGTTACCAGGCAGTTCAAAGCTCTCATTTCATGTGCTTCTTGTTAGAAATCACTTGTGCGTGCTGAGCCTACAAAAAGCTGGGGTCAGGGCAAATGCACCAGTGCCCAGGGTCTAGAGATATGATCCCACCCTGCAGATGGATGGCGAGAGCAGGGGTCAGCTTGGAGTCACTGCTCTGGTACAGCAGCAAATTCCCACAAATCTGGAAGTGACAGCAGATACCATGCAAAAAGGGATCTTCCTCTCGATGGCTTGTCAGTTTTCAACATACATTTAGGAAGTAACTTTCCTGATAAACAAGAAAACGGGCAACCAGCACCACAACTGTGGGTTTATCCTGGACAAACATCAGTGCAACCCATTAATCCCCTTGCTCTCTGCCCAACGCACCAGGTAAGGATGCTCAGAAAACCAAGTTCAGCCTGTTCTGAGTGATTTGTCAGCTCCGTTACAGCTTGGGGTGTTAGTTTTGGTGCCTCTTCACCCTCATGCACAGCACAATGGCAAACTCACCTCCATTTTTGATAGCTCTGATCCCTCGGTGGAAGTCTTCAAAGCTGATGACTCCAAGCCCACTCGGATCAAGATACTTCGTTAGGTCCTTTACCTGTAACCATAAAAGCAGCGTTATCCTCAAAGCTTTTTTTTCCTCCAGATACTAAAGAAAACTTCAGATCAAAGAAGCATCTTTTAAATTACTCCTTCTCTCCTCTTCTCCCACAAAACGCAAGATTCAAGCTAAGGTTAAACTGCTCAAAATGACACCAAGTTGCAGTAGTTCTCATTAAAGGGAGAATATCGAATCAGGACAGCGGGGTTAATTGGTACTGGACTAAGCGACAGCTTCCCTGCCAGCCTGGAAACACAGGTCAGCACAGTATTTCTTGCAATGTGATCTTTTCCAATGGGCTTTTGTTTCTGGTGCGGGGGGCCTTCTTCTGTTGTTGTTTTATTGAGAGAGGTCCTGTCTTAATTGGGAAAGCTCATTAATAGGCTGCCCTGCAGGAGGGCCCAATTAACGGGCTTCAGCAATAACGTAACATGGAGCAGTTCGTATTTAGGCCTCACAATTGAAATATTTTCGGAGTTAGACAGTGCTTAAAGGGGAGAGAGGAAAAATAATCACACAAGCTAGCAGGTATCAGAGCAGACACACAGAGCAGGTGTTCAAAAAAGCTTCACCCAGTAGTTAGTTTGCAACTACTGAAACAACTGTCTCCCTGCCTTTTTTCCTTAAAAAAAAAAAAAAAAAAAGAAGAAGAAAAAAAGCAAATCCTCATTCAAGAGATAACGAGGTGCCTTAATCTATTTTAGATCCACTTCCTTTAGCACAGAGACAATCCTAGGAAGGAGCAGGCTTTAACAGGTAGAAAAACAGAGTCACGCAGTTGGTTTTGTACTCGAGAGGTGCTGACGATTCTGCCCTTGCTCCCACCACACACGCTGACCTTTCCTCCTCTGCCGGGGCTGACACATAGGAGAGTCTCCAGGCACTTCGTAGTGCTGAATTTGTTCAGCTCTCACGAGCACAAGCTCCTCGCAGAGCCCATGCGAGCTCGATGTTTTTGTTTGTTCTTGGCAAAAAGGTGGTGACTCATTGAGTCTCTTATGTCAAGGAAGGAAACAAACAGCCTACACCTAAAAGGAGATTCTTAACACCTAAAGGCGAGGAGGACAAAAGTAACTGCCCTACCGAAGCAGCAGGTACCAAGTGCAGTCACGCTTCGCACCTTCACCTCAGCAATGCAGCACAGTTTTGCTCTTTGCTATTTTTCTTCTGTTTTCCCCCTTGCCACGCTTCGCACCTTCACCTCGGCAATGCAGCACGGTTTTGCTATTTTTCTTCTGTTTTCCCCCTAGGAAGTCCAAGTCCGTGTTTATACAGACAGAAACACCCACTAATCACATTTGCAACACCCGATCGGAGCTGTCTGCGGTTCATTCGCATGTTCACATGGTTTCCAGTGTAGGGAGAATTCGGGGGGGCAGAGGGGAGAAGACAGGACAGAGTCTTGGCCTCAGAAATCCCATCTCCTCCAAGCAACAGCGAGCATCCTACAAGCACAAAGGATGCAGCAGGATATAAGTCATCGACACCAAGATGCACATCTTGGAAAACCAGGGGGATGAGACAAACCCCAGAGCTCAACATGCACCGGGTTTGCCTGTTCATCAGCTTGCAAACAAGAAGGAGAAAACAAGAGCATCTCTTCCCTGTTTCATGGGGAACATTGGTTTTGGGGTGGGTTTATTTTTGAGCAGACAGATAGTAGCAGAGCCACTGAACTCATACAGCACACAGACTGCAGTGAGTCACACACACTTCTTGCGAGTCAAACAACGGATAATACAAACAGCTTGGGAATACGTCAGCTCCCGCTAATGCGTCTGGCAGATCCAAGCTCAAAAGCTGCAAGTAACTTTTGTTTGCTGTGTATAGAGACAGCACAAGAGTGAGTGACATTTAATCAAACGTGAGAGCACTCGATGTGACTAAAAGGTTTATCACGACATCCTATAGAGTGGAGGGAGCTCTGACAAGCCCTCCACAACACGAGCACGAGACGGCGGGGAGGGGATGCTCACAGTGCTGCCCGACACAGCCAGCCTGCTTGGGAGCAGCCTGCTGAGCCCTCACGTTAGCACCCACAGACCCCGCTCCCCCATGCGGGTGCTGCAGAACCTGCCCTCCTTTATTTATTTATTTTAAATCAAGCAAAACTTCACAGTCCTGAAGTTGGAGATGCCCACACACAAATATCACACAACTTGCAGTTTTAAGTGCCCTGTGCTGTGTCTGTGCTGATCTAACCTGCACATGCTTGCTGTCTAGGTTTAAAAACCTCTGACCATAAAATAGTTGATTGCAACAGAGGCCCCATTACTTGCCACTTCAGAGTCAGGTTATGTCCAACAATCAGACGAGCTCACAAGCCAGGGAGGACAAGAACCTAAGAAACACCCACCTGGGCCCACCTGGCACCTGCTGGGCCTACAGGAGCACAGCCAACCCCAGAGACCTCCTGGCACCCAGCTAGGGGCTCACGGCTGCCAGGTGGCACCTCCCTGCTTCATCCTTCCAGAAGGAGCTCCAAGGTCTCTCTCCAGAGTTACCATTGTCAGTTTTCTCCATTTCCTCATTTGGATGACTAAGCTAAAGAATAAATCTTACCTTTTTAGAAATGTTGGAAAAAATCATGGGTTACAGCTAAATATAGTTTTGAATTAGCAACTCCATTAAACAGTTTGAAAGTTACAGATTTCTGTTTAGCCAAAGACTCATTTATTCGCACGAATTTGGATAAAAAGAGAGCAGTCAAATACCCTATATTCCCATGAGCTCAAACCTAAAAGTTAACACTCCACTAGATTCCAACACGAAACTAAACACACACAGATGTAAACACAAACTGATGAGCTATGATGAGCAAGAAACATTCAAATAGAGGTTCTGCCTGAAATGTTTGTTTGCAGCTCATTACAAACAAACGCCTCCTGAAGAGGAAAAAGCAGTTAGAAACACTGAGCACTAACAGGAAAGAGGATGGCTTGGTCTAAACAGCTAATTTAAAATCCAGTTGAAACCTAGAGACTTAAACTGCTTTGAATCAATGTGCCTGGAGGTGAAAGCAGACGCAAACGTGCAGAAGCAAAATGCTGCAGCGGGACCTGAGGAAGCAGCTCTGTGCACCCATGGCGGGGACGAGGCCCGGCCTGCAGACCAAAGCCAGAACAGGCTACGGACACGAGGGCTGCACAGGGCCTCTCTGGAGAGCAGGTGGAGACTGGCTACTCAAGGCAACACAAGCTTCAAGAGCCCAGTCAGCAAGCTGCACCTAGGGCTATCTCATAAGCAAGACCCAAGACACAGACTGACCCAAGAGCACAGCTGCCGAATTAAACACATTTCCCACCTCTTGTTGACTGTCTTATCTCTAAATTTCATGCGTGCATGCCCATGCTGTGATATAGGCCTTGAAGAGCCAGGTATCTGAAACGCTCTCCTGTGCCTAGGCAGACCATGCTAAGCATAGGATTACTACAGGAAAGCATCTTCATTTCTAAATTCATAAAAGTTTGTTTCTGCACCCATCAGCAGAGATAATGACCCCAAGAAGGCACTGCAGCATCTGTTTTATACAAGCACTGATTCTCAGCCTGCCCTCCTCAGCCTGCCCTCCTGATAAGCAAGGATCTGCAGGTAAGTGACATGTAGCTGCATTCAGCTAGCTCGAGCTTCTATAGAAATCTGCCAGAGCAAGGAAAGCAAAACAGATTGGGGAGGAGGAGGAAGGTCAACTTACATCTCAACAACAGAGCAAGAACTACTCATCACAGCAACCACATTAACATGTCATCTTCTGTATTCAAGAGCTCTTCATACTGGAAGGGCATTGTGCCTTCCAAAAATAACATTATTTGCTGCCAAACACCTCCCATCTTCAAAAACCCCTTCTGACCAAGCCACCTCCAAGTACGTATGCCAGTGCTAGGGATTAGCGTTGCACCAACTGTTAACAGCTTCCCCAAGATGCAGAACACAAAAAGAAATAAAATTCTCAGCTTCACAGCAGTTAAATTCAGCAAATGATTTCTCAAGCCTCAGCTAAACCAACAGTGACATCTCCAAATTCAAGTTAACAGGTTTGGCAGCTGCACAATGGAAGTCTTCCAGGGAGATGAGGGATTCCCCAGCTGTAAGTGCCCCTGTCAGACAGGTTGGAGGAAAGAAAAAGCCCGGGGCTTTTTTTTCCCCTTCACCTCATGATACTCCATGTTTCCACCACGTGGAATCCACCACGTGGATGGATTCAGTATAACAAATGCAGCCGATGTTTTAAGTGTTGGTCTCCCAAGGAAGGGAGGACTACGATCAGCAGCCGACACGTTCCTCACAGCCTCTGAGCTTGCCAGAAGCTTTCATTCATACTCTGGCAGAAACTGAGGCTAAGTCAGGCTCCAAAAAGAGGTTTGGTTGAGGAGTGAGGTGAAAGTGAGGTTCACAGTGGCCACCACAGTCAGTGATCTCATATAAAACTCATCTCGGGACAGGCCAGCTAATAGGTTGGGCTTCTTACCCCAAATTTGTACAACTGCATTCTGAGACATTTAAGCAAAAATTGAGATACTTTTGCCTTGAAATTGTTCTCTTTCTTCTTTGGGAGGGATTTGTTCTGTGGTCTACTTGGTTTTCTGAGCCATAGGACAAAGACCAATCTAAGTTAACAGGAAATAGAGTGAAGATGAAGTCTAGAAGATACCAAATCTGTGGTGTTTAACACACAACTACTCTCAGGCTTGGTTTCTTGTCTGCTGCTGCTAACAACGGCTGTTCTGGGGGGGAGCAGGGGGAAGAGGGAAGGAGAAGGCACAAAGGCAGGGAACGTAATTCAATAGTATCCACGAGCCACACAAAGGTACACCTGCTGTTACTTAGTGCTCCCTTGAACCTAAATAACCGCCCCAGGGGGGCCAACCACGTGGATTATGTGCAAAATGAACCTAGAAACTGGAGAAAGTTGTTAACAGGAGACCTGTCGAGATAAGGAACAGCACACAGGACTAAGAGCCCAAATTGTCCGAACTTGGCATCTG